ATATATAATAGTATATCTAATATTATATAATTGTCAAATACCATTCACAACATTTATATAATTTTTTCGGAAGTCAATATGTATGTATTTTGTTTATCTTACTTTTTTCTACACTTACCTATATATTGTATAAATATATTTTATTTTATAACATACCTACTTATTAATAATAATATAATTCAAATAATCGAATGTATAATTGTATTGAAATAAATTACTTTTATAAATTCAATTGGATTTGTTACTTTTAGGGCGGGTTGCATAAAGATCAATCTGTAAATTCGTTACCGGCCCTGTAATTTATCGGTCCAGTAAGGTTTAATGATTGTGTAAGACTTGATGTGGGTTGCATAAAGACATTTTTAATTTATTGATAACCGTGGTTACCAAATAAATTAAACCACGTTTTATTTGATTAATTTGAATAATGATAACACAAATGAAAAAAATATTGATAAATTTGAATAATGATAACAAAAATGTTATACATTATACTTATTCATTTATTATGATATAATGAAAATTTATGACTTATGACTTATGAGTACTCTGTCTTCACTGTCCACTACTGGAGTATCAAGTTGTACAAAGTACAATGACTACTATACAAGTGAAGCGTACACGAACAAAAAACTTTACAGAACAGGAGAAAGAATTGTTAATAACATTAATAACGCCTTATAAACATATTATTGAAAACATTAAGCCATTAAGGTATGTATTTCACCAATGTTCCTTAATTAATATAACATACTCAATATTGGCGTGTATTAAATATTCCTTTTAGGCTGATGGTTTTAATATAAAACAAAAAAACCAATCCTGGGCAGTTGTTACATCACAATTTAATGATCGAGTAGAAAGTGGGAGTAGAACTGTACAACAGCTAAAAACAGTTTATGACATGATCAAAAGACAAACCAAAAAGAACCTCAGTAATGAAAAGGTAAATCTTTATTTGTTACTAACTTAATATCAATAATTAAAATGATTAATGTTTTGTAATAGGTGATAATGTACAAAATAACAAAACAATTAACTCATGAAGAGCAATGTTTAATTGTGGACTTAGTACAATCGCATCATTCAGAACTTGTAAGTTTTTTTTAAGTAAAATAAAGAATGATAAGTACATAAAACAATTTTGTATATTTTATAAAAATATTTATTTGACATAGTTTACTGGTAGATCATATGAACAAGAAGAAGCATGGATAAATATTTGTGAAACTTATAATTTACATCAAACCACAGGTCCTAGAGTAATGGAGGAATTAAAGTTTATTTTTGATCATTTGACTAAAGCCGCTAAGATGGAAAATAGTACGGATAAGGTAAGATTCATTATAACTAGAACTGTTAATTTAAGATATTTTATGTATTGTACCTATATTTGATATAATTGAACTCAAATTTAATACATTCATCACCGTGACCCACTAGATTTCTATTTCCTACTGTTCAGCAGATCAGTACTTAGTTGCTCACATTTTATTAGCATTGCATCCATAGTATCTTAAAATGTGGGTAGTAGATTTAGATTATAAGTTTTCAAGGAACTCTGTAAATATTTCTTAAAATGAATAAATTATGTTCTATGAATACAGATTGGAAGATATAAAACTGGTGGAGGAACATATACTAAAAGTATGACAAGTATCAGTGAACAGATTTTGGGAGTTATTGCTGAAAGAACTGAACCACTTGTAAATAAACATGATGACGACGCTAGTTATATAACTACAGATATTAGAAGTACATGTAAGTTAGGTTAGGTTTACATCATTAATATTATATTAAATGTATTCATTACATTTTATCAAACAATATCATCTATAATATTAGATTTATTATTTTAGTAGGTATACAATATAATTATATTATATTATAAGCTAAATTTTGTTCAATGAACATTGTTTGTAGTCCATGTAGTCTGTCTTGTACCTACTTATTGCATTTTACTAAGCACCTAATTTTGTTTTGATTGAATACAATTTTGAAAATGTTCAACTAGTAACTGGGATATATTTTTGCACTTATTTCATTGATACCTCACTTTTATCTCTTTTTAAAGATCTTTAAATGTAAATATGTGTTAAAATTAAATACAAGGCTCCTGATATATTGTTACTATAGCAGTTGAAAAATATAAAAATACATACGACACATTTTTTTTATAAGAATTAAAAGTTTGAATTTTGACAAAATGTATCAAATTTAATAATTATTGTAGTGGAATTAGAAAAGGAATTAAGTGCCAGGTCACATGCACAAACTTATATAATAAATATACTTTTGCTTACCTATTAAAACATTATCAATCTAATAAATTATGTGCAATTTTTACTTATGAAAGGCCAAAAGAGTGCTGAATATACACTCATGGATCAACACAACTTAGATAATGTGGATGTGGAAATTGTACATTTTGATGAAAACGATGAGGAACTTGATGTTACTGTTGATAATTTGGGTTATACTGGCAGTACTAGAATAAATTGGGGTAAGAAATAATATTTTTAACCATATTATTTGTATCAAACTAAAATTATCTGTACAATATTTTGTTGTTTACAGCAAATCTCAGTCCTGAAACTTATGACACAACTAATATCTCACCACAATTAATTACAAATAATGCCACTACAAATACAGCTAAAACCAAGTCATATAATTCTCATTCATCAATCACCCCATTAAAAGATACAATCACTAAAAATCGATCATCTCAAAAAAAAATTTGTGACACTTTACAAGAGTTGACCCAAAATAAAATTAAAAAAGTGCAAGATAAGGGACTTATTTCATCAGAGTTAGATGACATTAAACTAAAAAAGTCCAAATTGGAGCTACAATCAGCAGAGGTAACCTTAGAAATACTACAAACAGAACTTTTAACCAAAAAAATAGAAATGGAATCTAAAAAAAAACAAATGCTACTCCAAGAGGAAATATTAAACTTACAAAAACATAAAATGTTAAATAATTGAATATTCCATACTACTTATATTTAGTAGTTTATTATTAGGATGTGATATTATAATATTTATAATTGTTCAATTTACAAAACAATGAAAAGCGTTAAGAATTGATGTTTATTTCTTGTTATACAATTATTAATTTTGTTTCTGTTATTATACAATTGTTTTTTTTATTTTATGATTATAAAACAAAAGTCATGTTTATTTCTTGTAAAATAAAGTCGTTTTTATTATCAAATTATTAATTTTGCTCAAAATATTTGTTAATACAATCAATTAAACACAGTTTCAATTAAATGTCTTTGTACTGCATTACCAGCTTGTCGAACAGGCAATACTGGAACTTGATCCAGCATATCAGCAGTAAGTAGTGTTTCGTCTATAACCAGTGGTTCATTTGCTGCAATTAACATATTGTGCAACACTACGGTAGCAATAATTGTGGTAAGAGTAGTCTGTATTTGGGTTCGTATTCCTAGAGATAAAACTGGGAACCGCCTCTTCCATACACCAAATGTTCTCTCTATGACATTCCTAGTACCAATTTGAGCTTTCTAAAACAAAATTAAGCAAATGTTTTATTTAAATACCAGCCCCTTTGGCCATTACATTTTTTTTAATTTGTATTACTTATCACTAATTGTATTTATTTTTTGCTAACCTGATATCGTAGTTCTGATTCACTTGTAGGATTTCCAAGCGGTGTCATCATATAATTTCTACAAGCATAACCCCCATCACCTACAAGAACCGAATTTCCAAACTCATTGTTTTCAAACTGTGCTCGTAATAATGAATTGTCGAATATTGTAGAGTCATGAACTGAACCAGGCCACCTATAAAAATGTGCATACAAAAATTTAAAAGATACAAAGAGTATTCATACTATTCAATAACTTTTCAGGTACCAACTTATTTCATAAATCAATTTAGCTACTACTCACCTAGCTACAATATTTATAAATTGCATATGGCTATTACACACTGCTTGTACATTAATAGAAAAGAATCCTTTTCTATTACGGAATTTCTCTCCAATGTCACTATTGGGAGACTGAATTTTTATGTGGGTACAATCAATTGCACCAATAACTTTTGGAAAATTACGTGTTAAAAAGAAATCATGTTGAACTAAGTCGATTTCAGTTTGTGATCTTGGCATTTGTATATATTTAGGTTTTAGAAATGCAATAGCTTCAGAAACTTTTTTAATGACACGGCAAACTGTCGATTTGTGGACATGTATATGATCACCTAAAACTGCCTAAAATGTAAAATGTATCATTACACTAAATTAATTTTAAATAAATATTAAATACTGAATCATGACAAACCTGAAAAGCACCTGTAGCATAATATCTCAGGGCTATCAGAAGCTGTAACATTGGTGACAATGACACATTTCGTAGTGTATTTTGAGTTATATTGTGGCTTATCATGTCAAGTAGATTCATGAACATACATTTTGACAATCTAATAAACACAGGAATATAATGTAGGTATATTTAGGTACTATATTTTAATACGAGAGAAACAGTAACATATTATTAAGAAAAGAAAAATTGTCGTTAGGAGCCAATGATAGTTAAACTATGTTAATATATTTGTAGGTACAGTACCTAATTATATATGAAAAGTTGTATTATAGGTACAAAGGTATTTATTTAATAAATTATAAAATATTTTGATATTAGGTACCTGAATCTTTGTTTAAAATCTACATCATCATAATCTGTCAGTGGATTAGACCTGTCTCGAAAAAATCGTGGTCTTGGTAGCAATTGTAAAACATCAATAATAAATAATTCATCATCACTAGATGAAGACGAAGCCGACAAATTCATTGATTATTAATTTCAAAAAGAAACAACGAAATTTTTTAATTATTGAGTCTAAACAAATAAATAATTCACTATCAAAATTGTCACCAATAACATTGATAACATTCGTATAATTAATCGATCCGTAAGTTACAGAACCAAAATCCGATCTGTAGTTTACAGGTCCAGTAGTCAATAGTTTACAGAGCCGTTATCACTATCGGGCGTTCAAGCAACACCCACTTTTATTTACAGAGCCGTTAGCGGTTAACGGTGCGATAACGGTTCGGTAAGTCACTACAGGACGTTTATGCAACCCACCCTTAAAGTAATTATTACTAATTTGTATAGTTGTGTTGTAGTATAGGTATCTAATACACTAATTATTTTATGAGATAAGTTTTAATTGTTGTTATGGATGTTTTATATTAAATTAGAGGACTCGATTTTCGATATTTTCAAAATCCATAAAATCGTTTTGCATTTTTTGTTTTTTGTTTTCACTTTTTTGACTTGTGAATAATTGGTAGAATAAATTAAAATATCAGAAATCTAGTCCTATACGTTAACACATTCAACTCTCCTCTTCAACTTTTATACGAAGTATTTTGATTTAAAACCAGTCAGTCAGCCGTGTTTTTGGAACTAAAAAAAATAAGTTTTTACTCACAGCCGCGGCTGTCACGGTAATGCAAGGACGGTCGCGGGCAGCGCAATAAATCGAGGATAATTTTATTTTGTTTCATTTTACGTAAATAATAATCTGAACATAGTAGGTATTTATAAAATGAATGCAACGACGTGCGGAGCGCGGACCGCCGATAAGAGACCGACCGGTTTTGTCTTGCCCGCGAGCATGGAGTCGGAACTAGGAGGGGACAAACTCTGCCGCATAGAGTAATATAGAGGCGGCGTTCTGTTGTAATGTTGAAGCACAAATTGCCTCCAAACAGTGCGACCACTTTTAAGGTTGTAACTTATTGTATCGTAGCAAATGCACTCCAAGATGGTTAGATACATAATATTATTATAAATTATAATTATTAATTACCATATTATAGGAAAAAATAATATTCCTATTGTATTATATTGGTTTATTTAAGTGAGTAATATTCTAGTTATAGTGAGCATATTTAAACATAAATAAATACACATATTATCAATTTTGTTTTTTTACTGTTTATTACTTACAACATAATAATATTAAAATTAACAAAAAATATTAAATAATTTAGAATTAGGTATACTTATAAAGTTATAAATATAAATAAAAATATAATTAAATTAAAAACATAATAATTAGGTACCTAATACACAAATACACAATATTATATATAATTAAATAATATAACTCTATGGTTCAACCTACTTTTATTATTTAATAAGTCTTATATTTATCTTAACACTCAATACTTGTCCGTTTTGTAGTGCCATGCACTTATTTTTACATTGGGTTTTGTTTTTGTTGTTCGCTTAAAGTTTAAACCCTAAGAAAAAAAAATTATTTTTATTTTTTACCATTATCAAATTAAAAGAATATGTTTTACTTATCTTTTATTTTTCAAATAATTTAATGTGCTTCTTTTTAAACTTTGATTTTTTTCAAATAATGGTGTTATTAATTATTGTATTGTTTTTAATTTCTGAAACTTATAAATATTAATAATGTGATATTTAAGTGATTCAAATATTCTGGAGTTGTTTATAAAATGAGTAAGAACCTTTGACTGGATAAATAGTTTATTAATAGCTTTATTTTGATAATCATAAGATTTTAAAATTTTTTCAGTATGGAAACATATTGAAATAACATCAGCACTAGGGTAGCTCAATCCACCTTTATTACCACCTTTTTGTTTTAATGTAATCAATGAATTCAAGAAATCTTCTTTATTTACAGCACATAAAGCTATTAAACATGGTTCACATCTAAGAACAGAAGTTAATTTGTGAGCAACAAACCCAGCAATATAAATTATCACTTCTTTTGAAAAATCACTGTAAATATAATTATTTTGGCAAGTAATATAATCGTGGTCTGATACAAAATTATTATGAATAATTGAATTTTCTTCGGAATCTACTATATTATCATAATTATTATTTGAACTATTGTTAATAACTTTAATTGGATCAGAACTTGAATAATGTAAAATGTCTATGTGGTCAAGTGGAATACAATTACCAGTATTAAAATGTCCAATATTGTTTTGTCTAATGACCAATTTTTTATAGGCTGACCGAAACTGCCTAGCAGTTGGGTTATTATTATGCCCTCCCATTGCTCTTACACTTCCAAAAAATAGTTCTATGTGGTCTTGACTCAACCTATACACGGGAATATGATTTAAATAACCAGGTTCAACTAACCTAGAGTACAATTTTAGCAAAGAATGCAAACATAAAATGAATCCAATGAAACCCGTCTTTCGTTTAGATTCCAACACTGGTATAAATTTCATATTTTCTTTTACTTTTAAACCTTGGACATACTTNTTTTGCATTATAACATTAAGAGCCGTTTTATCAATCACCAGTTAAATGTCTAGTTAACTAATCTCAGATAATTACTAACTGTAGATTAAAAATATTATGATTTTATCAAATATATTTATACTAAGATTAACTATTCTAGCGTATAACAAACCGAAGATTAATTAACTACCGAAATGCATTGATTGATGTTAGTCACATCAGTAATATGAAAATGTTTCTAACTTCTATCAATGAATTGTAATCTTTTATCATGATATATTTATTTTGAGTGATACGCTTACATTATCTGACATATTTTTTTCCGATCTTTTGACGTTTTCAGTTAACAGTTTTTTACTTTTAAAAATATAGAATAGGTACTATTTATTTTATATGTTCTCGTGTTGTATTTGTTAGTTTTGAGTACAATTTTATTACTATGAGTTTATTAAAAATCAAACGTGAACGCTCCACAAATTTTATTGACGGCGAACTGCAACTTCTTGTCGACCTGGTGGCTAGTCAAAAACATATTTTGGAAAACAAAAAAACAGATGCCGTAACAGCCAACCTAAAGAATAAAACTTGGGAAGCATTAGCAAATAAATTTAATTGCAAAAGCCTAAATGGATATCGTAGTCCAAAATGTTTGAAATTAAAATATGAAAATTTAAAAAAAAATGTAAAAATCAAGTTGCGAGATGTGAAATCAAAACCCTGTGTAACAGGAGGAGGACCTCCAATTCCATTAAAAGCACTCAGCAAATTGTCCCCTATGGAAGAACAACTAAGATCTTTGAACCCTCTAGCTTTTAGTGGTAAAGTGTCAGAATTTGACAGTGACAGAATTGAAGATCAAAATACATACAGTCATGAAATGCTTGTACAGGATTATGAGAAAAGTGACAGTAATGTAAGTAATTAATATTTTGATTGATTCGTACATTATTATTATTACAAATATTGTTAATGAATTTCAATTATAGTGTATGGATGAAAACATTCTAGAATTTGATTGTCAAGAAAATAATACTGATGTTAGTTAAATTTGTAAAATACTTATCTGCTTTTTAATTGGATTAATACATTTGTATACCTAATAAATTGTTTATTATAAATCATCAAGGGATTTCAAGAGTCATTTGTCCATACTTCTGAAAAAGATTTTGATGTTGGTGAAGATTGGACAGATTATACACCAGCAAAATTGAGAACGCCGATTTCTCCAGAGCTATCATCTACAACACACCAGAAAAGCTTAGACACTCTGCATTCACCTAATATATTTGCTATCTCTGATGCTGGTTCAGATGATGAGTTAAAAAGTGAGAAAATAAATATATATATATTATTATTACTATATATTATAATTTATATTATATTCTTGCTACTTTAATGTTAAATATAGTAAGAAACCCTCAAGAAAATCTGAAATCTAAAAAATGTTCTGCTTATGCAAAAAAACAAACAAGGTTAGTTGGTTGAATATTTTTAAAACCAAAATCACAAGAATGATACACATATTAGTCAGATAACTATGTTCTTATATTAAACACTAATCGAATACAGAATTAAATATGTAATTACAGTAAATAGTGTACTATTATTATGATTTGAGTTTCTTACATAATTTAAAATATATTTGTGAAAAATGCTTGATAATATTAATTACATAGCTTGTTCATTAAATTTGTGTTATTTGAATTTATATTGTATACGGTTTGTCCCTCTAGCATTATTAATACTAATAAAGATTGGTCATACGCAGCCAAAACTAAAACTAAACTTATGCAATTAAAAATAATGCTGTTGGAAGAAGAACTTATTTTTAAAAGAAAAGAAAACGAATTGAAATTAAAAATTTTGGCTGCTGAATTGGCATCCAAAGAAACTTAAGTTATTTAAGAAAATTGAATTTATCTTAAATGTAATTACATTTTTCACTTGAAATTATATTCAGAATTTTTTTGCTAGAACTTTAATCTCATCACAGCCATTGGCTTAGATTTGATCAACTCCATTTAATTTTAATGAACATTTTTATTTTTGAGTAATATTTTTGTAGTTGGAATTAACTCAATAAATAATAAATAATTTTTCTTATATCTAAGGCTATATGTTGGTAATGATCAAAAGGCCATATCTACATGCAATATAAAAACGAATAAAAGGTAAAAATAAAAAAAAATGCATACGGCCGAAGATGAGTTATTTATCTAGTATTATTATGAAATTATAAATATAGAATAAACTAAATGTTGATTGGTGACGGATTTGAGGTCAAGAATGAATGCAAAAGAAATATTTACTTTAATTGATGAATTCTAGATTAAAATTGAATTATTTTGATGTACAATTTCAAGTTAAATTATTTTTATTTGTTTTGTTTACTTACTCGTGTAGGGACAAGTCCAATCTGTGATCTACCGATAAATGGCTGGTCATATTCATATTTTTCACGTCATATTACTGCAAAAACAAATTTTAAAACTGATGAAAAATCATTAACTATTTCAGTGTGTATTGGGTGGCATGACCTCCGCCATTCTTCTTTAAGTTGGCTGTTTAATAGTGGAGATGCGCTATTGACTTTCATATTACACTTGAACCTGACTAACTTCCACAATGACTCAATTCTTTGAGTAGGTATGAACTCCAGAATTTTCTTCCAAAAAGTTATCAGTAAGATGTTTTATAGTTTGATGAATAAATCCATGGTCCTCCAGAGAACTATATGATCGCCACTGATCTCTGTGAATCGTTGTACCAATTTCTACCTATTTTTCTATTATTGGTAAGAGCGTTTATCAATCCCTCTTTTCTACAATGAAAATTCGATATTTAGTTTTGTTGTAATTATTAAAACACAGGCCAACTGCCCACGGTCCCTGTATTCTATAATTTTTTCTTTATTTTCATCATTTGAAGTTTCTTCGCTATCTTCAAGTGATTGTGGGTCGTAATCACCACGTTGTAAGCGAATTATATTTTCGTTTGCCATGGAAGAAGGATCATTTACTTGTACAATGTAACCAGGACCTCCCATTTTCCTTCTTTTTGAAAACGGGTTAACAACCAAGTCACAGCACAGATTGTACCATAAAATTATAGTGGATTTACTCCTACCTGTCCATAAAACTGCATTATGTACTGTTATAGGTAGATCACACATTGGACCAATCCCCTCATGTATTTGCTTTTTAGACGTGCGATCTGAATCATTAAGTTTTTTTTCAATAATAAATTTACAGGAAATGTCATTTTCTAATGTTTCATATAAAAATGTTAAATGTGAAACAATACATTTAATAAGCTCTGAGTTTGGACTTCGACGCTGGGTTGATAGAAATCTGAAAAGACGAACAAACATTGATGCTATGTCGTAAATTTAAAATGAAAGCAAGTTAAATATTATTATAAGTTTTATTTTGAAAAATTAAAACATTTTACACACTATTTGGGGCCTGGTTCGTTATATTATATTTCTGCTCGTGCTTTGACAATAGCATTATTTCCATACGAAATCTTCTTTCCAAATTTCTCATTGTTTTGTTATGGTAATCGTCGAAATTATCAAGGTCTAGTTTCATCTTACAATTTTCTTCTTCTAATAAATCTTTTTCGTTCGTTATCTGTTTTAATCGCACTTTAATATTCTGTAATTCTTTATTGAAGCTATTTAATTGTCTTTTACAATTGTTATAACATTTATTTTCCCTTTCCAAATATTCATTTCTTTTCAAAAGAGCTTGAGAAGAGTTATTAAGCATCTTTGTTTTATTTTCAATTATCGACTTACGTTTTTGTAAAAACTGATTATCTTCAGCAATATACTCCAATTTGTGTTGCAACGATTCAGACAATTCCAAAAATTGATCTAATTTTTCTTCAAATACATCTTTTAATTCTTCGATTTCTTTATTGTACGTATCCATTAATATACGCGTATTGTCATTATGTAAGGACCTAACTGATCGTAACTCGAGAATATGTTTTTTTTGAACAAAGCGAATCGCGTATTTTTGTTCTTCATCTATTTCGGCTAAATAATGAGCTGCTGTACATTTTATCACATTGGCTCTGTCATTTAAGCGTTTAACACTTCGTACTGCCAGATTTGTTTTTTCGTTTGTATGTTGCGCGCTTTGTTTTTTCAAATCATCTCGAAGCGAATGATTCAGTAAAAACAAATCATTGTTATGATTTTCCCACTTTAAATCTGTTGCTTTAGTGGCTAATTCACATTCCAAACGTCTGGCGTCCAAATTGTAGGTGTTTTGATAAGTAAACTCTTCGCGTTGCATACGTAATCGTTTTTCAAGACCCTGTATTAGAATTGCATCATCAATTGCTTTTTTTTCCATTTTAGTAATCTCTAATTGAAGTTTATTCACAGACTTTTGTGCGACTTTCATGGCTATATTTGCCTGATTTCGATCAACTTGTAACAATGTTATTTCTTTGTCTTTTTGTTTAAGCATAATAGCACATTTTTTTGAGTACTCTAATAGTTTAATAGGGTTAAGTTCCGTTACATTTACTTCATCCAATTTCATTTTTAAATTTGAAACAAAGACGATTTACAAAATGTTTTAATAATGTAGGTTTTGTATATGAATAAAATAACTAAATAATTTTAATTATGAGAAAGTTACATAGTAACCATAAAAACAAATAATTATTTGAATGCTTTTCTTTTGATATTCTTATTTTATTTTTTAAATAATTTATTTAGCCACATATAACCAATAATACTTATAAAGCATTTGAATTCATGTTTTATCATTCAATGATTTATTGCTATTGATAAAACTCGATGGCTTAGGTTTGGCAACAACAGCCAAAGTTGTAATATTAATTTTGTCTAAACTATCTTGAGCTTCTTCTGTTGATTTTGGTAATTTTGGTAAGGATTTTGAACGAACATAACATACAGATTTGCGATATTTTGTGTCGTCAACACATTTAAATCGTTCGGTTCAAGTTAAGTTCGAAGAAGTTTCGCAGGCTTTTCATGCAAATTTTCTTGAGCTTTATGCTTTAAATTACTACTTATTTCTCCTCTTTATAAAATTGTGATATAATTGTAAGTGGGTGTGTTCCAGATGTTCATAAAATATTTCGCCAATACTATTTCGCTTAAAATAAGATTTACAACATTTCCAGCGCTCTACACATAACCAGCGAGTTTTTTATGGAAAGAAAACCAAAAATGGTCTACCTTTATTTTTCACGCATTTCACTAGATATGTAAGAAAAATAATAAAAATAAATGAACGCACAACGGAACATAACGACGGTGAATATCGCGAATAAACTGAAATCTGAACAACCTGCACAAATTGATACGATTGTGTGCCATATCGCAAAACTGATTGAATTGCATAAGTAAAATTGTTAAAGACATTATATTGTCAGATTAATGTTTCGGTTTTTTCGATATTATCAATGTACCTATTCTATATTTTCCTTTATATTCGGTTTTATATATTTAAACTTTAAAAATATGATACACATGAACTGTATATACAATACAACAACAGAATTACGAGGAGCGTAATAACATCAACGGTATTATGTATGCTGTTTTGAAAGACAGACTTGCATATGTCCAATAATTATAAAAATTATATAAATTATTGTAGAGTTTACAATTGTACATTTATACGTATTTGAGCATTTTTTTTGGACGGGAGCCGTTTGGGATCCGACGATTCTTTTCCTGAATTTTTTTTACAGATGTTACAAAATAGGTTGAAATACCATTTACTAAAAATAACCTGGTTTATCCAATCTTTTGGGTGGTGGTAATAATCACAGTAATAATTAAAATAATTATTATTTCATTTCTGTCCCTTTAAGAGATCTTGGTTTTTATCTTTCCCAATAACAGTTAATTTTATCTTATGTGTACCGGTCGCATTTGAACACGTCATAATAGTTACTCGTTCTTTACTAGATTTATGTCCGGAAGCTGATTTTTCAAGTGTTTACGAGGACAGCATTGTCCAGAATAGACCTGATTTATATGCGTTGTACACTTGGTCAGCCGTCAGGGGATAAGTTCAACTTTAAAAGCAATGAATTGAATTCGTAATTGAACAGTGTTGCAGCAGTCAAATGTCCACTCAGGCATTCACATTGAATAGCCAGCTGTCTTATACTATGACCAGTTTTTCAGATTTACCAGGAACACTTAACGAATTAAAAGGTAAAATAATAAATATATCTACCTATTATGTTTATGAAATAATTTCTATTGCATTTTTATAGCAGAAATCATATGGCAGTTACATTGGGCTAAACAACCAGAAAAAAAATTAAAAATCAGCACGGCTATGGAAGCATTTAAAGAGACTGGAGATGGATATTTCCGAAACAAAAGGCAACTATTACTTATTTTTGCTGTATTACCTGTAACGACACAAACAAGTGCGAGATCTTTTTCTAGCTTAAAAAGAATCAAATCGTATTTGAGAACGACAATGGGTTTGAATGGGTTTCGTCATTAAATAATCATCATCAAATTGGTTTAAAACCAGAGGAAGTAATAGATTCAGGGCCGTCCCGAAGGGTGGGGGGTGTAGTGGGTGTCTCCCCCCCCCCAAAATGAACAATAAATATATATCAGTTGGCATAGTAATACAATAAGTATTAGAGTCAGGGCTTGAAACCGATTTTCGATACCCGTTAAAACCGTTAAAAACCGAAATCGAAATCGAAACCGAAACTGAAACCGGAAAACATCAATACCGGTATCCCAAACCGAAATCGGAAAAAAAATTTTAGGTTTCAAGCCCTGAATTTAGAGTTGGCACAATGGCGCTCTGCAAATTATAATTTTTTTTATACAATTTATAAATAATTATGTAAATACTACAAAGTACAAATATGAATGGCATAATAATTTATGAAATATATTTAATTTATAATAATTATGAAGGTATTTAACTATATAAGTTAATTTTCAGATTACCAACTGTCCAACACAAATACTATGATACAATTTAAGTACCTATCAGTGTAACATAATGTGTTATATAATATTATAACAGTATTAACAGTATTACAGTTTACACATTTGTCTATGCATTCGTAGAATAATTGAATTATTTTTAATATTACCATAATGAAAACTGATAAGTAATAAGGAACTGTTGTGCACTGACGACTGACGAGTGACGACTGTAATTTCTATTTATAGAAGTAATTTGAACATATTTTAATGTTGACTCCTCTAATATAAACATCGAATAAGCGATAAAATTCTAAAACTTTATATTATTATACAGTCAGTATTGATACTTGACAGTATTTAATAAATATTATTATTGAATATTTTTTTTTTTTATATTTTATGTATCGTTATTCATTCCCGTTGGCCGTTATCCGTCTGCAGTCGATATTTTAATTGTACGCGTCTCATATCGAAAGTTTGTGTTGACAACACGTCAACACGTTCATCTTTATATTTAATTTGAGTATTTTTATCAGCTGTACATTAACAATTAATATTTTTATTAAACAATTTATAAAATGAGCGACAACAAAAGTGTAAAACGTAAAAGAAATCGCTTTAAAGTCGTGTGTTTAAAATGTGGCAGTATATTTAATAACGATTTTAAAAAACAACACGAAGAAAAAGAACACAATGTAAAGTCAGTTAATATTAAACTTGTTGGTGCTCCCGATAATCCTTTTCAAAGTGCTGCTAAAACAAACTTGTCAAAAACCCGGTGGATTGCTGGTGCTGAAAGCGTTAAGGCTGTATGGAATTCATTAGAGAAGCTGTGATTGAAAGCATTGATGAAATTCATTCACCAAATAAATGTTTTGATAAAGCAACAAGATCTAAAGCACTTGGTAGGTATTCGAAAACAAATACTCTCTTTTGATTTTATTGTTTCTTTATCGTTCATGAAAAATATAATGTACAAATTGAAGTTTCTTACCAAAACTCTAGAAGCAAAATATTTATGTATAATTGATGCAATAACTGTGATTTATAAAACAATGAAAATTTTAACAGAAATCAACTCTGATGATCACACAATGAACAATTTCATTGATAGTGCTTAAGAGTTTGCTAAGTTACTTGGAACAGACCCAGAAGCTGATTTTAAAAACCATCATCGTAAAAGATTAGCTCCTAAATGATATGATTCTAATGCCACAACTCAAGCTGAATTCACAATGAATCTATTTAATAGAAAATAAATTACAATTACAATTTAAGATCATGTGTTTCTTCTATTCAACCATTATATACTTTATTTTCTCAACCATTTAATAAAAGCAATATTTCCTTAGATAATGTTAAGAAATCTATTTCTTTATTCCCACCAAGCAGCATAGGTGCAAGTCTTCTAGATTTTGATTTAGTACTAACAGAACTAGAAATATTATTTAGTGTGTTACAAGAAGATAAAACATAATTTAATTCTTTAATGAAAAAAGCAGAAGAAGTAAAGCATATTTTACCATGTGACAATTATATCTATCGTTTGACATTGACTTCTCCAGTAACAGTCGCATCAAACGAAAGATCTTTTAATAAATTAAAATCGATTAAAACACATCTTAGGTCAACAATGGCTGATGAGAGATTAAATTCTTTGGTTGTATTGGGAGTAGAAAAAGATATTGTTGACCAATTGGATATGAATAAAATACCTCATAAATGGTCAATTTTAAAAAATCGACGTATACAAATTTAATGTTTATTATAAATGTAATATGTATTAAAAGATTTTTTTTTGTATAAAAATATTATTTAAATATTATATTTAGGGCTGGGATTTTGATGCAAAGGCATCTTTTTTTCTGATGTTTTAAAACGTTGATCCGTAAGCATAAAATATGTTTTGGGTGATACTGATTATTTTAAAGTATTTTTTATCCTGCATTTTTTTTGCATTTTTTGACAAAATTATTTCTTAAATGCATTTTTAGGATATTTTCTTATGTTTTTAGAGCATTTTTCATAATTTCTTCATAAAATGAACGAAAATTGTTGTGATTCACAAAACATTTTCGGCTAACTGCTGACGGTACGAATAATAAATTATATATAGTGTCATATTCCCCGCAAATTATCACCGTTATATTATACCTTATTTTTATTACACCATACACACATACATAGGTACAAGTTATCTTCGATAACAATTTTATCATAGGCCTTGATAAGTAGGTACCTATTACTGAATTAGTAACCAATTAGTACGTCCGTCGTCGTAGTCTCGATAGGATTCGTCGTGTTTCGTCGTGTCGTGTTTTTTCTTGTGATTCATAAGTTCAATATGCCGAAAGTAAAAACGTCGAAATCAAATCGATTAACGAAATATGTAAATGAATTCGGTAAAGAATTTTTTGCTACAGACGGTGAAATATTATTTTGCAAAATATGTGAAATAAAAGTGGCTTCTGAAAAAAAATTTACCGTTGTACAACACATTTCCTGAGATAAACACGTTCAAAGATTACGTCGCCGAGAAATTAAATCGGACCAACTACAGGTATCCACAATGCAATTTATAAATGAAAATCAGCTATCTCCGTTTTCTTATGATTTGACTAATGCCTTTCTTTCGGCCAATATACCACTTAACACGTTGACGGACACTCAGAAATACCATTTTGTTCTACAGCCATACTTTAAAATGTCACTTTTTCATTACTGCTATAGCAGTGAAATTAATATTACTGCTATAGCAGTAATGCCTTTATACGCCTAAATTTTGATGTACATATGCCAAAATCATTTAATTACTGCTATAGCAGTATCGTAATTTTTTATTAATTTTTTCGATTTTTGCCCTTTATTTTTATCAAAACATGTCAAAATAAATCTTAATTTAATTACATTAGTACTTTGTTAATATCGATGTTAATATGATAAATAAAAAATAGTACATTAAACTTAATAAAATAACATTACACTCTGGTTTAGTAGTTCTAAAAACAAAAATTTAAAAATTTAAATATTAAATTATTATTTCGAGGAATGGTACATTTCAAAACATTTTCCTGGACATAATGGAACAACACATTGTTTACATTGCAGATATGTTTGTCTTCTGCGTTTGATGTTCAAGCTGTAACAATATAGACAATTTATATAATGTTTTTTTCTTTTGTAACCCGGTGGAATTGGTATATTCTCTTGAAAATGAGAACTGTCAGAAACGTTGGTAGGTTTTTTTCTTCCTTTTTTATTTTTATTTGCTGTACAAATTTCATAACTTGTAATATTTGGAGGCAGCGAAATTAAATCCTTGATTATCATGTCCCTAAAAACCTTGAAATTTGTATTTTCATCATTAAATTTTTTTTTGTATATATAATAAGTGTTCCATACAGCAAGGTCTAATAAATGAAGTATAACTTTCTTATACCATTTACATGTTTTTCTGGGTGAACTGTAATAGCTAACCATTTGGTCACATCTATCAACTCCACTCATTTTTTCATTATAGTTTACAATTTCTATAGGTTTTAACTTTTGTTGCCCATATTTATTGGTTGATCTGACGATTTGTGGATGATATTTGGTAGTGATAATTGTGACGTCACGTTTGTCTTTCCATTTTGAAATATAAATTTCATTTTTTCTCTGCCATACGTGATCACCCTTTTTCAATTTCTTTTTAGTTACCTCTTCAGGATTTCCTTTCCTATTGCTTCTCAGAGTTCCCGTACTATGAGTTTTTTTTTTAATAATAATTCGGAAAGAGTAGTGCTGTTATAATAATTGTCCATGAATAAACTGTGGCCTTTGCATAAATATGGATCCATAAGCCTAAGGACTAGGCTATCTGTTTTAGAATTTGTTGACGGCAATAAATAATTATTTTTACCCTTATAAACTTCAATATTTAACACGTATCCATTAGGATCACATAGTTCAAACAATTTTATCCCATATTTTGCCTTCTTGCCCTTTATATATTGCCTAAAGCTTAATCTTCCGCGATGTAACAGTAGTGACTCGTCTAAAGATAAATCTTCTCCCGGGTAAAATGCTTTTTGAAAATTTGCAATTAGTATTTTGAACAGTGGATTTAATTTGCTCATTGGGCCAGTATCTGTGGATAGACCTGAATATTCAACGCTGAAGTACGCGAGAAGCTGTTCAAAACGTCGCCCTGGCATGGTGTATTTTATTATAGGGTGATAATATAATGGATTATTTGAGAAAATATCCCGCAATGATGGACATTTTAATGAACCCATAAGCATACACATTCCAAGAAATTTTTTTATTTCTTCTGGGTCAGTTTCGGTAAATTTAGATTTACGAGAATATTTTCCATGAGGTCGATTTTTATTTTTTTGGTTTATTCCGTATGCATTTGTAGATTTCACGATAATGTCAATAACTTCTTTAGTCCAAATTTGATTAAATATTTCAATTGGGGAATGACGAGCAGTTTCTTCAATATTTAATTTGATTCCACTAGTTGTAGTATCAAAATTAAAATCAGGTATATAGTCATCCTTCCATAATGTGTCAGTTGAATTAGAATTAAAATTATTATAATCAGTATCATCGTTAGATGTGTTGTCAAAAGAATTTTCTTCGTTAGAATAATCAATTTGATTTTGTAACGTACCTGTCGAAGGGCCGGGAGTATACAAATTATCTAAACTTGAGCTTGGACTTAAACTTGGATTCGTGTTTCGATGACCTCCTGGTAGAAAAGTTGGGTCATTGTCAGTATCATCCATAAAAAAAGAACTGTCAGAATTAAAGTCGGTGTCTGACAAAAATTGATTTATTCGATTTTCTTCACGATCAGTCGTTTTAATTTTTATATAGGACACGAATAGTATAATAAACACGAAGCTATTACGAACTATTACGCCGAACAAGCCGAATGTACCTAACTGATAAACATTGCCACGCGCCCATAAAGATAAATGTTGTTGTTGACATTTGATAAATATTATTGGAATTACCTATGTGAACTTATAAATTTGTTTTTAAAATTAATAAAATTCATTTTAATAATTCTGTAATAAATCAGACCACCCGAACAAATAACACTAGGATAATGGGTATTAAACACTGAAAGAAGATCTAATATATGTTTAATATTACAACATTCCTTTTATAATAAAACCACATATTTCATATTGAGTATACTATTTCCTATCCTATAAAAAAATATTTAAATTATAAATTAGTTCGCGTTAGGCACCCGTCGCGCGCACACTGCTTGCGCTCCGTCCTGTGGTTACTTACTCCGTATATTGGTTATGTATCAATTATACTTAATTATACTTAAAACTTTTGTGTTAAATTAGCATAGACGTATTAATGTAAAAAAAAAAAAAAAGCTTTAGTTTTCAAATTATCGTTACAATCGATATAAATAACAAATTAAATATCTCGTCGTCGTTACCTACGTATTCGCTATATCTAAAACAACTCACGTGCGGTCTTATCGCACGCCGCTGCGGCGGCAGTGACCTCGTCGTAATCGCAATATAATTATGCCGCAATCTACATCCAAACACAACACAAATTTAGACATCGCTAAATGTAACGATATCACCAAACTACAGCCTGCTCGCCTAAACAAAGTTTCAACTTCTGTCAACACAAATCACTCAGTCGTTAATCAAGACGTTACCATGGAACATTCTTCGTCTGGGAATTGGTCCCTGGCACAGTCAAAAAAAAATCAAGGTAAAAGAATCCTATCCTCCTCTTCTTCCGAACCAAATTCGCCAAAAACACAACCCATCAACAAAAAATTATTTTTTTCGACTAATCGTTATGACGTGCTCTCACAAGACGAACCAGAGCCCACCACTCAAACAATACCTACCCCATTTTCTTCTAACGAGTCAAATCCTGTGGGAAACATCAATGTCGGAATTAAATCAACACTCCCCCCACCAATTTTTGTAAAAGGTGTTCGCAATTTTCCCGAGCTCTGCACAGAACTTATTGAACTAATCGGAGTTGATAATTTCTCCTGCAAATCCTCATCTGACCGCCTAAAAATTATGACTACTAACCCAGCTGCCTATAGAACGCTGATTCATTTCCTCAAGGAACAAAAAGCTGAATACCACACGTACCAACTCAAAGAAGATAAACCAACGAGGGTGGTCATTCGTAATCTACATCCGACCACGTCCATAGAACTAATCAAATCTGAGCTCGAGTCGCGCTTATTTGAGGTCCGCCAAGTAACAAATGTACTACATAAAATCAATAAGCACCCTCTACCGTTATTCTTCGTGGACCTTGAACCTACAATACAATCCAATGACATCTATAATCTGACATCTCTTATCCACACCAAAATAAAAGTGGAAGAACCATACAAATCAAAAACTATAAGCCAGTGTACCAACTGTCAGGATTATGGTCATACTAAATCGTACTGCGGCTATCCAGCTCGTTGTGTCCGCTGCGGTGCCCTCCACTCTTCATCGGCCTGTCCAAATCCACGAGATGCTGCTCCAAAATGTGCCCTCTGCTCCGGTGATCACCCCTCAAGTTATAAAGGCTGCTCAGTTTTCAAAGATCTACAACAACGCAACAAACCAAAAAGGAGCAATTTCCTATCGGATAATATTAGTCATAAGAATAATGTACAGGTTAGTCATCCAGTGGTAACCCCCTCAACACACCCACCAGAGTCGTCCCAAACCTACGCTCAAGCCACATCCGGTTCTTACTCTAATAACATAATCTCTCCTCCTGTATCAGATATAAACAAGTTCCTTGACGAGTTCAAATT